ACAACCCAACATTTGCAACCACAGGGAAGGACTGACTTAATGGAGGCATAGTTCTTTAGCGAATATTAACGATCGATATTGCGCTTCCACGTGAAGAACAAGTCGTGATAAGTCGAGCAGGATAGCCGCGATATAAAAAAATAAAGTGCCTACATCGGCCAGTGGTAAAACAAACATCAGCTATTTATTAGCTATCAATTCACACCAATTGAAATTTGCGCGTTACACGTAATACGCGAACTTAAACAAATAGAGATAAATGCCAGTTTAGGAACCGCGTAAAAAATAGAATCAGTATGGAAAGTTGTGTAGAAACATAAGCATGACAGAGTTGTGGGTAAATAAAAGTAGGGCAAATGGCTACCGTATTTCTATCGCGTATTTATTCTTGTTGAAATATTTGGCTCTCCAGTGCAGATCTTTTTGAATCTGGTGGTAGATGTCCCAAACGTCTGTGAAACTGTGTGCGCTGCATTTTTGCGCGCTTAGGATTTCTTCACCATCTGAATGTGCTAGTAAGGCGTAGTTAGTTGAAGATAGCAGGAATAAATCTAACCGATGTGTCTGCACTCTTCTTTGAAAAAAAACATTATGTTGCATAAGCCATTATCTGTTCTCTCAATCCTTTCCTGCAATCTCTCACTTAACTTGTAAGCAACCGTTGGTGATTAACTCAAAAATGACGATTTTGTTGATGTTGAATAAGAAAAAAACTGTTTGCATTTCTTAACAGCCACAGGTCTTGGACAACTTTAGGTGCTGGCGTGCCGTCCTTGACCGAAACCTTTCACTGTTTTATTCTTACGGATGACCTTGTATTTATATAAACCAATAACAATTCGTTGATGAACGTTCACCTGACTGCTAACAGAACTTATCTGTCCCGCTCTGCCTGGGACCTCGACGGAGGCTCTGACAGCCATAACGGCTGGTATTGGGCAGATAGTATTGCCGGCAAAGACAAGGGAGACTGGAATGGCCATTTCTGGCTTATTAGCGGTCGTCAGTCAGTCATACCCAGACCCGACTGGTGTCCCATTCGAAACTCGAACTCCAAGGCAGAGTGGGACAGATGAGTTCCGTTAGCGGTCAGGTAAAAGTTCGTCAACGACTGTCGGTATCCCCTGAACAATACCAATTTGGTCTCGCTTTTAATTCATAGGACCGGATCACGCCTTCACTGACGGCGCAGTCTTTGTCCACATCCTGTCTGCAGTAAACAAACTCAGCCCACAGGAGTCTGCCCTCGATCAGCTCATCGACATTATTCTGACAACCCTCCTTCACGAGGGGGTCCGGCTTCGATTGGATTATCCAATCCACCTGATTGAGAGACCTCACCTACAGGTGTCCAATGTGCTACTCGAGGGTCTTCACCGCGTCTCTCGAGAATGCCCCACTCGGATTAGCACAGAAGAACTGAGGGTCAGTGGCAGAACAGTAAGGAACACCTTTGTGGACCTCTGTTTCCATCTGGATGAGCTGACAATGATTGGACAATTTTCGACGGGCTTCCCCTTCATCTCCCCTCAGGTAGGCAATGGTATTTGTCACAACAGGCTTTGGTAGGGAAATAGGTTTAAGTATTTTCTGTCAGATGTACGGACTTTCATTGAACCGAAAAGTCAGGGCTGATATTGACTGCGTCCAGTCGTGAGAGAGATGACAGTTGCTTCTTCATGAGCTCAAGTGGTGTGTGTTACACTGTGTTATAACCTTGTGTATTCCTGTGTCAACATTGTTTATGTCCCCCCAGTTACGTTTTAGGAAGAGAAGGCACAGCAGGATAGCAGATAGTACTTAACTGTCACTAGTTCTGCTTGTAAATCAGCGTTGTTTTCTGTGTGCCCGTCAGCAGCGTATCCACTGTCGTCGGTAGCTCTGTCGCAAGTTGTGATGTCGACAAACAGAAGGTTCCTCCAAATCACGAGTCAAGCAAGACGGTGTAGAAGGGGAGAATTTTTACTGTTGGAAAATCGAGAGTACACAGGCGGAGTTATGCACGCCGAGTCAGTACGCCAAATTGTGCTGCCTTGCCTGCGGAATGTGCTCAGTATGAAGGTGCAGCCAACCAGGTGGATAGGCGCTCATCGATTGGCTGGAACTTGCGCAGGGCTTTCTGCGGCCAGAAGGGGGGAGAGTGTACGGCTTCTGGCAGCGGTTGCCAAGTTCGCGGCGAACAAAGGCAG